CAGGAGGCATTATGATATTTTATTGAATTAAAATATAAATACAGAAATATAACGATTATACATATATGATAATAAAGGAAAACATAAAGTGAATATTAAATTTTTACTATATATCATGTAATTTATTATATTTCAATTAAATTTTCACTGTACATTATGTAATTTGTTTTGTTTTGGTAAATTAAAATACCGATTATCAATGCCCGTATATAAAAATCTTTAAAATTCTTCAAGAATCGAAAAATCGGCCGATTTCGCATGATTTCACATGACATCATGATCTGCAGGGGTCACACCTTTCTGCAAACCGCTATAATTGAGCTTGAAAAATTGCAATTAATTGCTCCTACAATCAATTATTCGGTAGGCCTGCTAATAATGATAAAAAAAACACTTTTTTGGCTCACCATGTGTATAACGCTAAGTTTCGCAACGCCATTTCGTCAACAGGCCTGTCTATATCTTTAAGGTTATAAACAAACAAACACGCTGATTCTTTATAAGTTGAAAATGTGTACCAACTACAATTTCTACTTTTTTTGGTCATACTCTAGGTCATACGGGTTAGTCTCCGTTGATTCTGTAATATCTACGCTGCTTAACCGAGAATTTTTTTTCTCGTGTAATCAATATTATTCGTAGAACTTGATTGAGAATCCGCTTCTGACGCGCATATTCCCAAAATACAAGTTTTGTAATTATTAATTTCTACGGTGCTATGATTTTCTTTTGTGCTTGCCATATGTCTCACACTTTGTTTCATACTTTTAAATACTAACGGAAATTGGACGTTAAAGTCAAAGTTTGCTAACGGTCCAACAATAATCCATCCGAGCTTAACTAAACAAATTGTAGAACTGGAATTTTCCCTTTTAATATTGTGAACAACAATTACCGGGGTATTTTTATCTTTGTTCACATAATCTATATGAGCAGAAAACAAATTTTTATTACTTTTACTCATTATTGATGCAAAAACTTGGTAATTATTTACATCTCCAATCTCCCTTATGTGCGGAGACAAATTATGTATGTATGATGATGATATTGAATTCGTAGAATTTTTCAATTTAAAAGGAATGTCTTCAGTACCGGCTATATTTATAAAAATTTTTGCAATATGATAAATTAGTCATTTACATATATCTTTATATTAATTAGAGAAAATATCTTACCTTTCAAAATTCGATGGCCCAAAGCTTTCAAAACTTCTTTTTATAAATCATCATTCAATAATTCAAACAACGAATAAATTTTGTCATATCCAATTATTTTCCATGTAGACGCATCTTTGAGAGATTCGTCCCAAGAGTTCATTCCGTTTTCTGAATATTTATCTTTGTTCCCACCAATAACAGAGGTATAATTGTCGCCATGGAAACTCTACGCATTCTCAACGTTGGCGTTAGTACCAAATCCAAATCTAAACATAGAGCTGAGCTTGAGTCCATATGCACCTGTTGTATAACCAAGAAAAGGTTGTTTCGGTGCTTAAATTCAAGAAGGTTCATATCATGGATATTTACGTACCTGAATTTATGATATGTGATTTATTTTTAACTCTAGCCACTCCCAAAACAAGATGATGCGCATAAAAATGACCATACTTTTCTGATACGTCACGAAATTGCTTTATTATATCTTTATTATTATTTAATGCAGCTTTAACATCTTTAATAAATTCATTCGTTGCACTAATGTCCGAAATTATAATTTCTTTTTTTAGGTCTCAATTCACATAAATGTATGTTAAACTGTTCAGAGCTTTTTCGAAATAATTTAAGTGAATTACAAAACCATTCTAAAGCTGCCGAAAATTTTTCATCAATTATAAGGTTTCGTTTACAATTTGCGTTAGGCACATAATTACATTTGTATTCTTTTTCTTCACGAACAAATCCTGGGTCCGAAAATTCAATTTTATTGATATCGATTTTAAAAGCTTTGTAACTAGCATTTTCAATAGAACCATCGTACCAAATTTGAAACCTTTTTCATTTCTCAACTGTAACAAATCGAATTCTGCTCCTTCTTTAATATACAAAAAATGGGTATCATCATCACGTGTTTCAATAATTTGTAAATTATTTAATTTAGACTCGTCTTTTCGTAAAATTGGGATCCCATTTTTTGTCGTAAAATGGTAATTAGTTCCCATATGAAAATCATCATATTCTTCAAGTTTAGTTCGAACAAAACTGAGAGTTTCTTTTCTAGGCAAATACATATAACATTCTTCCCTTTTATCTGATTTAATTATTGTGATGCCAATTTCGTCATCCATTGTTGAGGAAGAAGCAGAAAGTGATTTGCTATGATTATTTCCATCTTCTGTAGATTTAATAGGTGATTCACTTAGACAATTTTCATTCTCAACTAATTTTGAAATATTATTAGTCAAAAATTTTATAAATACGAATAAAAATTATAGAAATAATAAATATTTAATATACAGGTTGAATTTGGTTCAATACTCCATATTATTACTTGATCGCGACCACATTCTTTAGCTTTTTTCGAGGCGTTGTCGGCATGAAGAAGTAAGGCGTTACAAGTTTCTACTGAAGAATTTATTTCGAAACCCCAATACTAAGTGTAACTGATAATTTGATTTTGTTATAAATAAACAAATGGGCTTCAACAGAACCTCGAATTTTTTCAGCCGTTTCAAAGGCCATCGTTTTATTAGTATCCTTGAGAAGAATAAACTCATCTCCACCATATCTTGCAAAAATGTCTTCAGACCGGACATAATTATTTTGAATCAAATTAGTTAACTCTTTTAAAGTATAATCTCCAGCCATATGATCATTTTGATCATTGATACTTTTAAAGTTATCTAAATCAAAAAACAATAAGCTCAAATCCCGTTTATTTTCTCTTGAATTCTTAAATTCATTCCCCAATTTTTTCAAAAGTAAGTCTTATTATAGATCGACAAAGGTTCATCCATGCGGCTTTTATATTCTCCAGTGGGAAGGTATTGAAATTCGCTATGTCCCATTGAAATCACGTCATCTCTTATTAAAAGACGGGAAGCACGAAATCCAAGTTTTTCACCATTAACAAAAATTCCATAATCGGAGCCTAATTCTTTAATTTCGACTTGTCCCTGATAATTTATAATAATTCTTGCGTGTCGTTTAGTAATTTCTTGATCTTTTATAATGATATCGTTCGAATTACCCCTTCCTATAGATATTTCGCCTGGAGGAAGGAATATGTATCTATTTAGAGCAGACCCTTTAACAACCTCTAAACTTGCTGAATTTTTCGACGTAAACCGAATCCTGTTCCTAAGCAAACTCCCCAAATAAATTTCTGGAATATAATTAGAATCTTGATATACACACTCAAATTCAATATCTTTGAGGCGATTAATGACTTCGTTAATTGATGGTCGTTTTTCAGGATCAGAGTTCCATGAATCACAATAAAGCTCTTTGCAATCTACAGGAGTTAAATGAATATGATCTTCTCTATTTTCAAGGGCAAGAAAAGTTTTTAATTTTTTTGTGTCTTTTAATTCAGATTTATCACTATAAGGAGGTCTGCCACTTGATATTTCCCAAAATATCACTCCTAAACTATAAATATCGGAAAATTTATCATATTTATTATTGTTACTCGTAGGATTAAAGAATTTCGGATCCACATAAGCAATATTTTCCTCAGTAATTTTGAGAGTAAGTTCTGTTCGACTTCCAAGAGACATAAAATCTATAATCATCAATTTATCGTTGGGATGGTGCATTAAAATGTTTTTTGAGTTCTGATATTGATATTTATTAAAATATAACTATTTGAGAGGATCAATTGTATACAACAAAATTCCTTTCTAATTGATATATTGATATACTAACCGGATTACAATGTACAATATTTGCTGCATGAATATATTCCAAGCCTGTAGCAATATCTGTGGCCATTAGTATTTTACAAGTCCAGTCATCTTCTTTTTCCCTCAAATGCTCTCTAAGGCTTTTATAAGAGCAATACCGAAGCACCATAGAATAAATTTTCTTGAGAGGTTCTTAGATAACGAAAATTAAAGTGCATTAGTCTAATTCAAACACGTTTTTTCCAAAAATAGATATGAATATTATCGTTATACAAAAAGTTGAAATACTGAAGCGCGTAAAAATACCTTTAGTTACACCATAAAAATTGATCACATTATCATTGGGTGAAATTTTTTTTAAATTCGTTATCTATTCGTAATTTCGAGCAATTATATAATAAATAATATCACATCTTTTAATTAAAGAACATTAAAAAAATCAGAAACTTCATTTTTAATTTACAGTAACATCTCTGTCAAATTTCTTATAATATTCATCTTGATTATATTCTTTTAAAAATTTGATGACGACGTGTTTTTTTTTCAGTTATCATATAAGCATGTATGACTTCACTTGAGCCATCTGAAATTTTTTTAAAAGTTCGAAATTCATCGTAGTTAAACTCTTTCAAGTAACCTTTTTTAATTTTTTCTATAATCAGATCCATATAGTACGTACAGTACGTAATAAGTAGACGTATATATAACGGATAGATATTGTTACCTAACGTGACAAAACTGCTCATAATAGGATAAGCGCCTTCGTGCCAAAAATGAAAAATTTGCAGCACTGTGACGATGAATTACATTAGTTTTTCCTATTCGGTTTTATTTTTTCCATCTCTTATCAATCTGTACTTGGATTTACTAAAGTTCGATAAAGTTATATTTAGAATTTTCGTATACATAAACTTTTCGCGTTGCTGTCAAGCTAAACAATATTCTTATGTCAAATATAGTAATATCAATTCGTTGATCACCAATGCATGTGTCACATATACGTATAAACTTAATCCTAAGCGTAGCGTTAACATAGCAGATAGTACGTACGCACGTACGTACAGTACTGGGGCTGCCGATATACTAATTAATCAAAATCATGTGGGATGCAATAATAAGTAATAATACTGATAG